GGCTGGCTCAGGTTTATAGTTAGGGCTGGCTCAGGTTTATAGTTAGGACTGACTCAGGTTTATAGTTAGGGCTGGCTCAGGTTTATAGTTAGGGCTGACTCAGGTTTTTGTAACCTTTTTATTTGTAAGAGAAAGAATTTGTTATTTCCCCTCTTTTCCTTTAAGGTTTACCGGATATATAAACCCGTCAATCATCCTCATCACACACAACACAGCTGATCCTGAAACATAAATTAATCTTATAAAAGCTTTGACAGAAAGGAAAATATCTCCATTCACAGCTACACTTTATGTCATTTGTTGAATAACGCAGGCTGAATTGTCCTCACGTAATTTCAACACGTGTGTCCAGAATAGAGGGAGAAAAAACAACTTATCCATTCCCATTAATGATGCTGGACTGCTCCTCTTTTCATGGATTAGCAGCTGTAAATCCACTGTTGGTTTACCCTGGCTGGATTAGACAGCATTAGACACTATATGCTGCAGCGGCTAGAAAGAAATTCAAGTGAAAGGATGCGTTTGGTGTGGGGTCCTTCAGAATCCCGTGGGGGTGAAATGAGGGGAAAGCACGCTGCTTCTTTAATGCAAATGTGACTAACGCGTGACGGATCCATCCACCTCATCAGATGTTTTCCTTTAAAACCCGAGGCAGACAGGAAAGGAGGAGCTCCCCAAATAGATGTAAACAAATGGATGCAATGACAAATATTCCTCCCTTCAGCTTCCACAGTCAGATCCCGTCCAATTGGATCACTTCAGGTGCTTTTAAGTCGGATGACAGACACCTTATCAAGACTCGCCGCTCCACCTGCACACCATTGATAACATGAACATCACCGACAGTCGCTCTCGCAGGCATTGTGGAAGAATCTTAGCCAAGCAATTAACATTTTTCTATTCAATATCTTCACAACAAAGCGGTTTATTGTGCACTTTTTGGAAAATGAACTGACGCTGACACCCCAGTTGGCACGCAGCGGCGTCGCTCTCCATAACCAGAAGGCGCCGCCGTGTAAGAGGCTTTCATTAGTAACACTGCAGTCGCTCCTTCTGAAGCCAGATGGAAACCACATGGCAGTCTCGCTGGGCGCTCACACCAGTCAGCTTGTGATGATGTTTGAATAAAACAATCCCATTCTTCTTCTTCTGCTGCAGAAGAAGCTGCCTGCGTCGGCAAACAAAAGCTTTCAGACGCCGGGCAAAAAAAAAACCAAAGTGTTCCCCGCTCCCATCTGTGGCCACAACTGGAGTCCCAGAGGAGCATGAAATTCACTGTGGGACGTTTCATTTAGCTCGCCACCTCCTCCTGTGCTGAAACATGCTAAATACCAGAGAATAGGCCGCTTTGGTTCAACAAATAAGCTTCTTATTTTTAATTGCCTCCCCCAAATCCCAGCAGCAGTGTCGTTTTCCCGACATTCAAGGTGTACAGAGCGAGAACACACACAGAGCCAACGTCGACTTTTGGCGTATGACTGAGTTACAGTTACTCCGTTACAGGTACTCAAGTAACTCTTTTGAGTAAATTGTACTTGTCACAGTAGTTCTAATGTAACAGACGTGCTTTACTCTTACTTGAGTAAATATAGAGAAAAATCATTACTTTTCCTCCATTAGTTCTATCCATTGCACTTGTAACTTCCATACAATCGGACTTCTTTTTGCAGCCAAAGGAGTCGCCCCCTGATGGCCATTAGAGGGAATGCAAGACACTTCTGCATTGGCCTTGTCAGAACCGGAGGTTGCCGTCTGGGTACTACTATACTTGTCCTGTCTCTATTAAAAAGGTTCCTGCGGATCCTTTAAGTGTGTTTAAAACAATTCCACTTTATTATTTCATAAGGTATTCGTTACTCAAGTGATTTCTTTCAGTAAATATAATTTCTCAAGTAGCTATTTTGATGCCTAATTTTTAGTGCTGGGCAAGTTAACGTGTTAATTTCGCGTTAACGCATTCATTAATTAACGCCGACAATTATTTTATCGCGCGTTAACGAATTACGTTTCAATTACGTTAATTGAAAGACAAGAGACAATACATATACATAACAACAAGAGGATGACAAGTGGGATAAAAGCCAGCAAACATCCTATAGTCAGTCATTTTAGTGCACCTATATGCTGAAATTCACGGTAAACGCATTTAAACGGCACAGATCGGGAGCGAGCGAAGGACTTTGAAAGTTAGCGGAAAGATTAACGTGAGACAACATCCGGTTTCTTCAGACAAACATCCGGTTTTCAGAATAAGATGCCAACAAAGTATGAATTATATTCACATTAAGTATAAAACATGCTACCTGCATCTCGTGAACCAAATGTTATTGCACTTTTGTTCATATAGCAGTACTTTTAAAATAAAAGTGCGCAATACACTACTTTTGAATTCATTATTGAACTTTGCCATAACAATGCGATTAATCGCGATTAATCGCAAAAAATCCATGCGATTAATCGCGATTAAATATTTGAATCGCTGCCCAGCACTACTAATTTTACTTCCACTTGAGTATTTGTTTTTTTGCAAAGTAACTTTAGCGATTAGAAGTCCTCCTCTTTAGCTGCTACTGGCTGCAAATTGATCTGAATTGTTTAGATGTGATGTTACTAATACTTTCCTGTGAAGTATATTTTGAAAAGACCGTATTCATGTAACAAGCGGAAATTGACACGTGTTGCTGAGGAAAACGTACAAAAAATAAGGGAGTAACGTATTATTGTATGAGGATACGTTGACCAAAACACCACCTAGTCCTTGGAGGCATACAACACTTAAACAAATCAAAAACATGGCTCGTACAGTAACAGTACTTTTAATGGAGTACATTTAAGTGGAAGATACAAACAACCAGAGGTGACAATTAACGGCCTCAGAGGGAAGAGGTTTCTCTGGAGGATGACATCTGCTCAGCTCCGTGTCAGAATGTATTTACTGTGCAGTAGATCCGGCTTTCTTTGTTTCCTCTATCTTGGGGCCGTGTTGGGCTCCACATGTCGTTTATTTCAGTGCTCTTTAGGTTTGTGAGCTGAACGGAAGAGATGAAGTAGGGAAAAAATAAACCTGCTCTCTCCCAACTCAGCGCAGCATCAACATTCACTTCACACCACAGACTGTTTATAAGAAGTGGACGTAGTCGTAGTGACGTCACTCATTAGTTTGTGGACTGACGTAATGAAGCCTCGAGTTCGGCGATTTTGCCGTCACCATCTTGGATTACGACCAACGGCATCTTGTTTTTTGTAACCAGTGAACAGAACTGACCTCATTTGGACTGTGGATGAGTGACGTAGAGATGTCGTATACGTCTCCCTGTCAATCACAGTTGCCCCGCCCTAAAGCATCCCCTGCTTTATGGTCTGTTTGACTCTAAATGGACCATAATGTACTAAATGAACATCATTCTGTACTGAAGAAGACTTGAAACTAGAGATTGAGACCATAAACTCATGTTTACAATGTTTACTGAGGTAATAAATCAAGAGAGAAGTAGAGTCATTTTCTCATAGACTTCTATACAACCAGAGGAGTCGCCCCCTGGTGGACACTAGAGAGAATGCAGCTTTTAAGACACTTCCGCATCGGCTTCACTCGGCAGAACCCGAGGTTATCGCCTGCTTCACACTCCGCTTCAACAACATGGTGAACCATACTCTCCTGTTGTTCTTCTTTAAAGAAACAGCAAATAATTGTCACGTTGCCGCCGACATGATCGCAGCGGCAAAGTCCCCTAAAGCTCACAGAGCTCACCTGCGAAGGCGGGCCTCATGGTGAAGTCGTGCTCGTCTATGCGCAGAAGGTGGCTGGTCTTCACCTTTCGGGATTTGGTTCCATCCGAGGCCTTCTTGGACAGAGGGCTGAGAGGAGAGAGGAGCCATTAGAGTTTCATCACTGTCGTTTTTTTAATCAAACATTAAGGACGTGGTGCATTTGTCGGGGGACTACAGCGGCGGATTAATCCACTTTTAGCGCTCTAGTGAGGACGGTGTGTGTGTGGGATTGAGTTAAAATAAACTTTGTGTGTTTGTGAAATTAAGGAACATGTCACCCAGTGCAACAGTGAGCCTCATTGATGTGTTTTTAATGGGGATCTTTGGCAAAGAGGACGATATCAGCCTTTGTGAGTAAGATGCATTTATTGTGGTTTTTGGTGTACACATAGGATTTGATGACAGTAAAAAACACTCATCAGACTTATGTAGTTCCTAAACTTGTGAAGCCCTCTGATATTTTGTCTTTACAGAATTGTATTAAAAATACAATCTTGATGTTTTGAACTGTTTGTTGTTTTGTACTTGAACAGGGTACCAGGGTTGAATGAGATTTTTTTTTCATGTACATTTTTATGTTTCAAGCAAAGCTTATTTTAAAACCAATTGGTTTTGCAATAAAAAAATAAGCTTTGAAATAAAGAAAAATAAGAGGTGAAACTAGAACTGACTATGTAGTAGTGCTGAAAAAACAGAAAGATGACCAGCAACAACTGTGACTTCTTAGAGTAATACTGGTTGTATAGCTATACGATATTCAGAGCATTAATACAGCAGTAAAAAACTATATTCCTCATCTTCTTAGTATCATGTTATGATCATTGATTAAATAAATAGAGAAAATAAATAGATATGCTTTGAATGCCGTAAGAAACATTTAATCATTTTCCAAGCAAAAAGACCAACATTTTTGGGTGTTTTAGCTTCTCAAAAATGAACATTTGCAATTTTTTCTAAGTCTTCTCTGATAGTAAATTAAATATCTTTGGGTTTTGTTGGTTGGACACAAACATCCAATTTGAAAGAGTTCAACTTAAAGACAAAAGACCGACAATGTAGACAAAACGATGACAGGAGATAATAATAGGAAGATTAAATCATTAATTGGAAATTTGAAGCCCTAATATGCGGGGGAAGACATTAAATCCATGTTTTGTACAATAAATTCATGCACATTACATGAGGACAAAGCTACAGCTGCTGCTGAGGGATGTTTAATCCTGCTGACAGCAGTGTGACAGTCAGGGAAGAATACCACTCTCAGCCTCCCCGTTTGGAGACTCTCGTTACCCTCTAGCCAATCCCAATAAAGATAATGCAGAAAATACAGCAGGTGTTTTCTACTCACAGTTTGGTTCCCATAAATAAATGTGAAGGGTCCTTTCAGCCACAACGTGACTTTAGATTGAAAGGAAAAAAAGGTTTTGGCCATGAGCAGAATGCATGCTAATGTTGGAAATCAGCAAACTGTTCGCTGTCAAACTCATAGAAGTGTTAATTGGTCTGTTGCGCAGAGTTGCGCGTAAATGTGCGGCTGATAAAAGTGATGATCATCGCTCTCCTGCAGGACATTTGTCCCTATGATGATCTCCGAAAGGTCAGAGTTCAATCAACATCAACTAAAAAGCATCGTTATCGGTACTTACTTGCCGGGCTTGTGAGTCTCCGCCGGCGCGGACCACCGCTTTCTCCTACTTTTGTGTCTCCGGCACTCCCCGAGCAGGATCAGACACAGCAGCACGAGCAGGAACCTCGCGTAACCGGGCATGGTGAGTTCAAAAGTCCCGCAGTGAGTCGGTGAGCGCCTTTGGTTCGCGTGCAGGACGCACTGTGCACGGTACCATCTTCATGTGTCGGAGGCAAAAAGAGGGAGGAAGGGTGTGAGGGAGACTGTGAGGGAACAAGTGCGCCGGGTGCTTTGCGAGAGAGAGCGAGAGAGAGAGAGAGAGAGAGAGAGAGAGAGAGAGACAGAGAGAGAGAGAGAGAGAGAGAGATGGTGGAGTCTGATAAGCGCGCTGATTGGTCTTCAGCCTCCAGAGCGGCTGTTGTTTTGTTTTTTCCGGCTCAGGCGCGCGCGCAGCATCAGCACCACATGCAGCGCGATGCAAAAGAGAAAACATGCCACCCCCCCCCGATGAGTCGTTAGAGGCAGAGACGCTGCTGAGACAAGGCAGAACATGAAGTCTCAAATTCCTGCTGCAGCTTCTTTTTTGGGGATTTTCACAGACCATCATATTATAAAACGTATGACTTGATCTGATATTATTGATAAAGAAACTGCATGAACATGTAAACTGATTAAATCTGGAACAGTCTGGAGTCTGGAACATTTGATCCTTTATTTTATTTGTTTGCAGTGGAGGACAGCATGACCTAAAGACTTCATCTCAAGCTGTAAAACGTGTCAACGTCCACATCTGTGTCGCTCCAGGTTTAATTTCACCACAACCGCCCGGAGTCTGGAGAGAGAAGTTTTCAGAAGATGTGAAACAGCTTTAGAAAATCTCGCATTCTGCTGCAGCAAACTGCATAATATTTTGGGTTCCCAGTTATGGCTGCATGCTCGAGGATCTCTTGTGGTTGCGGTGACTCACGCTTTCTTAAAACATCTTTAACTACCTGTTTTATTCAGCCATTCATTGCCTGCTGACTCCTCACTTACTACCCTTAACCGACACCTGGTGTGTTTGTTTGGCTCACAGCTAACGGATTTTTTGCAAGATCGTATATGACATCTTTTATACGATGACTTCAAGTCGATTGCATGCATACATTGCTGCTTGTTTTTTGAGTTTGAAATACATCTGTATAGACGAGGGGTTAGCCAATTGTGGTCGCATTGATTCAATCACACATCGCAGCAGTGGTCGTTGGTCGTTGCAGACTCACCTGGAGGACATCTGCACTCTACTGAGGGCACCTTTTATACAGGTTGCCTACTAAAATTGCCAAATCCACTTTCCTCTGTGGACTGGAGAACAGCAGCTGCCGTCTGCACCATTTCACAACAGGTCCTTGATGATTCTTTTTGATTCTTGATGACCTTCGCTCCTAAAACCCCAAAAGGACTTTTTACCACATCGTGAATCCAGCTCCACCGAGCCGCCTCGGCATCGAAAATTAATGAGTATAACCTGAGAAGAAATTGTAACCTGATCGAATCGAGTATAGTATTATTTTATGTGAGCTGTAGCTGTGCCCCTGCTAATACATCCTGCAATAAATATCTAATCTGCATTTAAAGTAAATTTCTCAAGAGAATTCATTTGCTGAAGTAGTAGAAGTTCCTCGTGGCAGTAAAAGGTTAAATCTATTGTATGTTGACAACAAGAGTTCTTAATGGTTATCCTAGTGACCGGTCCACTTAACAGTCCCTTACGGTTTTAGTTATAATCCTAGCCTGGCAATTTACCAAGAGCCCGGATCCAGAAGAGGAAAGCTGCCATAACTGACGCGACTAGGTAGAAGCGCCCGGCCAGGGGGGCCCCTCGGCCGAGTGCACGTTACCGGTGGAAGCAGGGTAGACGTCAGGAGTAACGGTAGTTAGCAGAAGCCAGGCGAGTTTCCTCGACAGAACACCAGCTCGCCAATCTTTTAATAGAGAGCTGAGTCAGTAGGTAGCCCCGTATCGGGCCAGAGAACCCCCCCGGATCTAACAAGGGTAAGCTGTGTTTTCAGAGTAGCTGTACTTTTATTAGAGGCGTTCAATAACTGATCAATGTAGTTTCCTGTTTATTTCAAAAGCTCTAGTAGTCTGACATCTATCAAGTCCAATGTACATTTATTGAGCATTAGTACTGCCTCATGATTATTGGTTCACTTCTGTTCAGCGTTTTCCGTCTCACTGTTAGGCAACGTCGTGCACCGAAAGAGGGCCGGTTGAGGTCGAGGGTCAGATTCTCTCGGCCTGTCCTGTGTTAGACATGTTGGAGTGTTTTGCGAAATTGTGATGCCCCTACATGGAAGGCCATGCTTATTAGGTGTTAACAAGCACCTTAAAAACAACAAATACAAATTTAGAAAAACAAAAAATGAAATCGAGAGCGAAATAGGGTAAGAGTAAGAGTGACCTGTTGCACAGACAAGTTTCTGTCACACACCCTCTGCTGCACGGCGGTGCAGGGGGGTGGGGGGTTGCATACACACACACACACACACACACACACACTCACGTACGTGAGGTATGCACAGGTGCACTCATTGGACCATGTCTGCATTCCAGCACTGATGCCATCATGTCTATGCACTCACTTTGACCTGGATGAACAGTATGGTCATCCAGGAATGACACAAATTTAAGGGGGGGTTACCATGACACTGTCATGGCCCACGGAGGCACCAAGAAAGGGGGAGTATAAATATTCTCGGTTTTCAAGGATCAGGAGCTTAGTCGGGGGAGAAGCCCACCAGGTTGGAACCTGCGCTGGGTTAATCTTTGACTTTCTTCTCCGGACATTTGGAAATAGCCTGCTCACTGGGTCGGGTTTTTTTTAAGACTTTGTTGTTTTTTATCTTTTTATGGTGATCACTTTCTCTCTGTATTTGGACCAAGGGAATATACTTTGAATTGGACAAAAATAAATAAGGAACTTTTTTAACTTTTTCCGACCGACTCTTTTCTTCAACTGTTTTGGGAACTCAGAGAGGAGAGGGCTGCATCATCAAATGACGCCACATCCACAACCACCACCACCACTGGGTCGGTATTTGGGAGTTTGGCGGCCACCGCACCACAAGGGGGCTCTACTTTTGGATCCTTACAAACAGACAAAGAACCAGCTGCTCCCACGTTTACCTTCGGGAAGCCAGAGGAAACGAATGAAGCCGCCGCCTCCTCGGCTCCGTCTTCCTTCCTCTTCGGTGCCGCTGGTAAAGATGCAGACGTTGCACCAGCAGCAGCAGCCGCCTCTGGAGGCTTTTCCCTTAGCAAGCCCGGTGCTCCAACAGAACAACCTCCACCCGTCTATAGTTTTGGCAAGCAGGCAGACTCCACACCTGTGTTTGGGGCGGCTGCTAATTCTGCACAAGGTGGGTGACTGTGACAGTACAATCCATTTTCCCTTCAGGTTGTCCTCCGGATCCTTGCGTTAGGAAAGTGCGTTTATCACGAGTTCAAACGTCTGAATGTGCCACATGGTTCTCAGGTGGAGGCTTTCAGTTTGGAGGAGCCAGTGCATTTGGAGCCACAAACAACACCTCAGGAGGAGTGTTTACTTTTGGAGCTGGAGCAGCACCTTCTCCCGGCCCCCCTGCAAACCCCTCCATCGCACCCCAGTCAGGACCACCTGGGGGTGGATTTAACTTCTCACAACCCCCAGCATTCAATATTGGGTAAGCTGTGTTTTCAGAGTAGCTGTACTTTTATTAGAGGCGTTCAATAACTGATCAATGTAGTTTCCTGTTTATTTCAAAAGCTCTAGTAGTCTGACATCTATCAAGTCCAATGTACATTTATTGAGCATTAGTACTGCCTCATGATTATTGGTTCACTTCAGTTGTTTCTAAAGGCAGCGTTTGTTGTGATTCTTACAATAATGGGGATGTCTTTTGCTCTTCCAGGTCAGCGAAAACCTTCACCGCCTCTCCTGCTGGACAGCCAGCGATTGCTGATCAAGACAGCGGTGCGGTGCAGAAAGTAGAGCCACGTGGACTCGACTGTAACGAAGACTTGACTTTGACTTGACTGTATCCCCCCCACTGAAGTCTGAATAAAGTCCAGGAAGGTCTCAGCTACACCAACACTGAAGTTATTGGGCATGTGAAGAAGAAATTAAACTATATGTAACTATATATATATATATATATATATATATATATATATATATATATATTCAAAAATCCTAGATGGTGGCTAATTGGGCCTCCCGAAAATTAGCTTACTTAATAAAACTTTGTATTTCCCCGATTTAAATGTTCTTGGTGTCAATTTGTAGGTAATAAAAGATGCTTTAATAATTACCCACAACTATAACACTAGAATAATGAATGTGCTGATGTAATTGGACATTTAGTGGAAAAATGAACGAATATAAGTGTCAATAATTCAACTCTTTTATTTAAATCATTTCCTTCAACTATGTTCAAATTGAACATTACAAGAATATGATAAACTGTATGGCACTGGACACTTAGTTCATCTAGCAATAATACATTTGATATTAAAGATAAATGTGTAACTTATAGCACATTCCCAGACTAGTCTAGTCAGCATGGATGGTAAAAAAGTTGTAACTCATTCAATAAATGAAACAACTGTACTTCACATTTTAAACATTGTAAAAGATGCTACATTTTCATATAAGATCTACAATATTATTCTAAACACAAAATCAAAGCAGCTAAATTCACATGTATAACATAAGACTAGTTGCTAGGATATAAAAGTAGTTGAGATTCTTTATGGAGATTATAACTATACATAACATATGAAACATTGCTAGACTAGTCAATCTGGACGGAAACTAATTATCTTACAGCACTAGATACTGAACTGATATGAAAATCAACAATTTTGCAGTTGCCATAAAGTGATTATAACCAATTGTAACATGAATTTGTTTTTTATTTTTACCGTTTTTCAGTTCTTTAAATGCAATATTACTTACAATTGCTGAGGACTTAGCCTCAAACTAATATGTAGCACCACATTTAGGTGCATTAATATCAATGTCACTGTTCAGGGGGTATTATTCCGATCTGAATGTCTGCAGTAACTCCGCACAAAGGTACGGTCATCGGGCACATTCATCTTCCAACTGCTACTGCTCACATATGCAGCTGCAGAGTGCTGTACATGGAAGTCCCAACTGAAAGCACTTGCACCTCCCATGGCAACTTTTCTTACAGGAACACTTGGCCAGTTCCTGACAACTGGCTGCGATGGTGGGTAACGTCGACCAACATACCTGCCATTTCTCTCCTTTCTGTGTCCACCCCCAATCAGCAGGACTGCCGATGTCTGGCCTGGAGATAGTTGTCTGGCCCCAGATGATCCCAGCCTGATAAGCAGCACGCTTTGCATGTTCTCTCAGGGCTGCCTGAGTTGGTGGAATCGAGTTGTGGGGCCTTTGTTTGCGGGCAAAGAGATCCAGTCTTGCTTCATCCACACCAGTAACTGCGCTTGATCTATCGTACATGAGGACAACAAGTCTCTCTAACTGATGCAGGTCCAGGTCACTAATTGATGTTGGATGCTGGCTGAGATTGGTGAAGGTTTCAGAAACTTCATCACAAATGTTCCAAGTCTGCCATGCTGTCTTCTTCCCTTTCCCATGAAATGCAGACACAATGTGTGATACTATTGAATAGTTTTTCCACCACAAACTTGGCGTCACGAACAGGATCCCTTGAAAGATCATCGGAAACCAACTGCGGACGGGGACCGATCCTCCTGCCTCTGTGCCTCCACACATTCTGGAGAGGACCGTTCAGTGGTTCCTGATCATCTTCACTGGGATCCTAAAGGACCTGATTGAGTCCAGATAGACTTCTAGACATCCGGTGAGATACTGACATTTGGAAGATTGACTCTGAAGGATTGTTTTGTTTGTTTTGGGGTTTTTGTTTAATTAAAGTCAAATTGGGATTTAAAAGTGCACTGATTTAGGAAATAGAATATTTTTGTCAATATTCATATTAGTATTTAACAGGCATGTGTGGATATTTGTTGACATCTCATATAAATGCTGTTGTTCGTGAAAAGTTGGGTAGATACGGTAATATAGGATACTACTTTTAGGAATGTTCGAAGAATATTGCTGAGTAAAGGAGGACGGGGAAAAAAGGGTGAGTGTTTGATAGTCAAGTTAAATACCTTAAAGGTTGAATATCTTACAGGGAGACATTAAACATTGAAGTCCTTTAACCTAAGACGAAGAAGCCGTAAGGAGACTGGAAAGAAAAAGATTAGACATAGACTTTGAATCTGTAAGGATAAATGTGTCTAGGTAACGGCTTAACTTTGATTGTGCGCGAAACAAATCCAAAGACTCACGGTGACGACTGTGTTTAAAGTATAAGTGTACACCGACTGTGCCTCAAAATGGGTGCACAGGGAAGTAACCAGGTTCCTCCACCTGAAGGACCTAATGTAGTTTTCATGAAGAAAAAGTTTGGTGAAATGAGTTGTCAACATTTGAATGAATGGGTTAATGAATGTGGGTTTCCTCAAGGAGGATCATTTAGCATAGATCAGATTAAAAAAGTTACGGAAATAATAGAAAGTCACAATAGAAGTTTGAAAATGTGGAAGGATGAATCTGAAAGTAGGGAAAGAAAGAAAGTGTAAAAAGATGTCTAAAGTAGATAAACCAAATGAGAAAGAGGCAGATAAAGCTTCTCAGAAATCTTCTTCTCTCTATCCCTCACTGCACAGGGTGGATTCTGAACTCGACGCATGTCCTCCCCCACCTCCACCATATGTGGCCCCTCCACCCGGTCCAGCAGCACAGCAGGGCCCGCCCACACCAAGACAGCCCGACTTCGACCCATCTCCAACCAGCACTCCTGCCAGCAACCTCACGAGCACGATCTCCTCCGTCGACCAACTTCATGCAGCAGGCCGCACACGCCATGTCCCAATAGGCAGCCCAGACAAGTCACATGAGGACCTGGGAACAACTGGAGACGCAGTGAGAGGTTCCTACAACCACTCATGTGACACCAGAAGTGGACGAGGACCAAGAACAGACGACGACGAGGAAAGACTTGAACTCTCATTCCCGATGGTCCAAATGGAGCAATGATGGTCCACAGACCCTCGACTGACAGAGACATGACCGACGCCCTGGCACATCTGCCAGACCCCCAAGCATCAGGCACAAAGTTTTGTGATGAACTTATCGTATTCTGCCGTGAGTTTAGCCCCACTGAAGGAGAACTCAGACGCCTCCTCGTGAACAAACTATGCCAAGGTTCGAGTAGCCGGTCAAGGAAATGCCAGACAGGTACAGACCAACTGGGTTCACGCTGACAACGCTGCATATAGAGACATGATTACCGTACTGGTTACAGCTTTGACACTTGCTTTCCCGCCTAGAATCAACACGACAAAAATAACATCATGCAAGCAAAAGCCTGGTGAAACTGTAGCAGACTATTACGCCAGACTCCATGTTATTTTCAACGAGCACAGCGGTCTGAGGGATAAGAAGCACCTGAGAAATGGATATATATAGTTATAAATAAATAATTATATATATATATGTCTGTGTGTTTTATATTATAGTGAATATTATTATATATCATATATATATATATTATACTGAATTGCTTGTGAGGGGGACAAAAATAAGATGTCCTGACGTGTTTATCAAAGTGTTATTTACCGTTTTTTTCATGTTGGAATAAATGTTAAATATTTAACTGCAAAGTAGTAATGTGTGTTTGATACCTTCATTTTTTTTGCATTCAATCATTCTGGGCTGTTTACTGAAATTGATTGGATGTGGCACAGCCCTACCTAGAACATGTTCCACCAGCCGCCACTGTCAAGACGTGAAAAAAGAAGTGAAAATCAAGTCTCAAGTCTCCCCAAATGGGTCTCAAGTCGTCGTCTGCAAGTCGAGAGTTAATCAAAACAAGTCTGAAGTCTTGTCAATGTGAAGCGGACATTTTTCTGATTCTTGAGGGCGATTTTCACTTCAAGTCTCAAATCTACTGAAGTCCAAGTCACGTCTTAAGTCAGTCAAAAACAAGTCTATTGTGACTTTCCGTAAAAGTTCAAAGTCCTTGAGAGTCAAGCTCCAGTTAAAATTCATGCTGTATTTTGAATGTTGCTAAAAACTACAGAGACAGAGCTGTCCTTCCAAGAAGTAAGACTGCGACTACCTCCAAGCTATTTGTATGCTGCTGTGCAGATAATTAATTTAATTTGCTTCCTAGTTCCTCTGAGTCTCGTCAGGGTGATAAAGCCCTACTCAAAGTATATTAAAAAACAAAAGAGCGTAAACGTTAGACAGTGTTTGGGTCTATTTATACGAGCAGGGGGGGATAAAATGATGCATACATCTTCAGAGAATGAAAGCTAAACGAGAGATTAATGCACAGTGAATGCCATAAAACAGCAGGGGAGGAAGGATATAAATGAACGGCATCACAGTGACCACAGAAAAAATGACTTTCTGATTCAAATAAAGTATAAAAATCTGTTGTAGGCGGTGAAGCAGAATCAGACACTGAGTCATGCTTGCTGTGGAGAGTACACACACAGAAAGTCGTCATGTTTACTGGCGCTAATAATCCCTAAAATGTAAAGCGGTGAGAACGGTCGAAAGTGCTCTGGCCTCGTGCTGCGCTTCACCAAACACGTTGTGTTTTAGCCGATCCTGGATCAGTCGGCTCCTTCGCTTCACAGGCCTGCTGGACAATCATTACGCTGTGGGCGCTTGCGTCAGTGGCGACACGACGACCGGTGCAAGCAGCGCTCTGACAGTTTGATATGTTTCCGACCCTCAGATGGTGCGTTGTTTTGCTTTTGCACCCAGATTGTTTCATTGTTGTATTCTCAGATGCTACGCGCGAGTCATCTCACTCCCTTCTCAGTTCTGTTAAGAGTTGCACGCGCACAGAACCAACGGAACGTGAGAAAATGTCGGCGGGTAAAGACAAAGTTTATGAGCTGAAGTGCAAGCGAGCATTTCAGTTATCCTGGAAGTTTAGTTGTGTAGCGTGTGAGGATGTGGGTGAAACTATACAGTTAAAGAATAAACACGACAATCAACTTTCATCTTTGTTGTTATTTCTTTACCACTAAATAATAAAACAATTTATACAGGGGCAGGAAGATTTATGACCCACTTGGCAATTAATGTTGATTAATTATCCCTGGAGATGCAGGAGGATTCAGACTTTACATTCATACCAACCACAGCCTTATGAACTAAACAGCTAGTTGCACCGTTAAAATAGAGCCCTGTGTGGTGTGACTGATGTGACCAAACAGGAAGTTAAAGCGTGTAAAGAAGAAGAAGTCCGTGCAAATGCTTCCATAAGCCATTACTTTAATTTAAATCCCCTATAATCGTGTTGACATATTATATTACACTTTTAATTAAATAATGGGAGCAAGCAGCAGCACTAGGATGGAACAATTACATGGAAGGGTACATGTGGTGTGTGTGTGTGTGGCTGCTGAACTGATCACAAACAGCTTCCCTGTTTAAAAACAAAAGCATGACACTCTGGAGAGTAAAACTGACAAAGATTAAAAGACACCCTGCAGGTGTTGTGGTGGGTGGAGCGGCTCCTCCGCAGGAATAAAAGTTTCCTTCTGCCGATGAGCAGAGAGGGCACAAAGTCAGCGTAGGCCACCGCCTCGGCTCTGGCTCCACATCGGCTGGCCATAGTTCTGTTCGGGTGGTAGCAGGGTGTGTGTGTGTGTGTGTGTGGGGGGAGGGGGGGTTACTAGAGGGTGAGGAGTAGGGTGGAGGGCCGGCCAGGTGAGCGGTCACAGCTCGTAGTCGAACTTGTACTCGTTGGCCAGGTAGACCCTGCGGAAGATGAGCGCTGCCAGGGCCAGAGTGAGCAGCACGATGAGGACCACGGAGCCCGCGTGGCCCTCGTCCCGAGGCTGGCGAGGAGCCGCGGCGAAGACCGGCCGGCTCTGCCGGCCCTGCTGGCTGTGCTGCTGGGCGCGGCGCTGCCGTGGGCTCAGAGGGCGACCGGTGCCGGCGGGGGCCCGGGGGGGCTCCTCTGCTCCCGTGGAAGGAGACGTTTCCGCCTGTGGAGAAGGAAACAGTTACTCGACTAATCGATCATGCTCACTGTATCCGGATTAATTCATTAGAAAAACATCATAGTTAAGATCTTTGTATGAATTACAAACCTGCAAAGTGGTTTAGGTAGTAGCTAGAGCTGTTAGTGGAGTATTTAGTACAATATTTAATTCTGAAATGTAGTGGAGAAGAAAGTAGCATGACAAGAAAAAACTCAAGTAAAGGACCTCACATTTGTACTTACAATCAGTACTTTTGACTTTCCACCACTGAAATACGTGAAATACTACGATGAACCCGTTCGATTCTGAATTAAATCCGGTGGCTCACAAAATTTGGTGCAACACACAAAGACAACTACTGTGATCCCTCATTTCTAATGTCAACTAGCCGATCACACAGCTCAGCCGTCGCCAGTAAACTGTATTTATGTTGATTCTGTCAGACAGTGTTCTCGTAAAATAATGATGCGATGATCAGCAGAGCAGCCAACAGCTTGGACACGACTGCTGGTTTATGAGCGATACAATCAAATCACTCATCAATTGACACTCATTCCATTGTCCTACAACGGAAATGTAAAACATATGGAGATGAGAATAATGAACTCGTGAGTTTGACTGAATTAAAACACAGCTGGGATGCTTTGTCTTTTATGCAGCTTCACAGGAATAATAAGTGAGCTTCCTGGATGAGCACATTAAAACCTTAATGTTAGAGTTACGACGCTCATCAAACGTGACCAGTGCCGATAGAACGAGGGGGACGACAAACCAATGAGCACAGAGATCACACATTTCACCCAATTAGAGACACAGTTATCCCTCTGTACTCGGGGAACAGCAGCAAGGCACTGTGGGACACCGTGGACCCGGATGAGTTTCAACTCTCGTCCCTCCAACTTCAGCGGCAGATGGCGAGTCCTATTTATTGACGTGTCCCCTCGTCAGTTCATCCAAACCCCAGAGACAATAATCTAAGTCCTCTCTGCTCCTTCAGACTGGTTCTGTGTGGAGCAGCTGGCGCAAAAAACAACAACAATCCTCTTAGGCGACAAAGCTCGTGCACATCATCGGAAAAGAAGCCACAGAAGCACAGGCTTCAAGCGACCGCTGCTGCAGAGTCAGCATGCAGCATTCCGTCCTTCTGTGCATATTCAAAATGATTTGGGAGCTCAGTGGGACGTCGGCGAGGGATGAAGCGTGCCACCAATTAAAAAAGGAACAATGTGAAATATGTGTAATTGTCTGCATACAGACGGGGGCCACGTAATCCTTTTGATTGAACACCGAGGAGCTTCAGAACACCCACTGCTCCGTCTGATACTCTGAGGATTGAACGCTGAAGACGGGTTTTTATGAATGCTAAACATCAAGAGAAGCCTAAAAAACCCTTAGTTTCAACTGTGTTGCATATTTGTGTATGAATGTATTCAGTGGTATATTTTTCATCAAGTCGAGATAGATAGATAGATAGATAGATAGATAGATAGATAGATAGACAGATAGATAGATATATATATCTTTGTGAAATGGTTTCCAGTGAAGTTAGATTTGTAGTTGACGGGCTGCAGGCGGATTAAGTGCTGTGGGACCCCAGAGTGGCAGTTTAACACCCACCTGCTCAGGCCCTTCAGACTCGTCCTGGCCTGCAGACGTGGAGGCGTCTCCCTCGGTGAGTGTGGGAGGTTCGCTTTCTGCACCTCCGCTCTCGCTGGCCTGTCTGAATAAACTGGACTCTTCCTGCATGAACACACAGGGAAGTCAACAACAACATCTTTGCTCTTCTTATTTTAATAAAGAAATGTTCTCCAGGTCTGAAATGACTGATGCTACAGATCAGCAGCTACGCTGCTTAATAACAATGGCAGCACCTCTTCAGGTGCTGCCATTGTTATTAAGAACAACCTAAGCCCCGCCCCTAGCTGCCAGTAGCTCCTCCCAGGATGCTGATTGGTCCGTGCTCTGGCTTGCGGGACACAATCGCATTACTTGAAGCCTGACAAGATGGATTTTTGTGTGAGATCTTGTTGCTGCGATTCTCGCTTGATTTCGTGATATCGCGAGAATCCAGCTGGCGGTCAAGCCAAAGAGAGAATATGATCGAGTATCTTGTAAGACATGGGGATTATAAACCCGTTTCAAATAAAGGCCTGCTGTCTCTCGGCTGTTGAGCTAAATAAGGCCACAGACCTTTAGTATTCTCACTTAAATCATACAGTTATTGGTTATTGGTTTATTGTCCAGCCCGAACACCAAACAGGACTTGTGTTGTACCTTGAAGTTGATCTGCTGGGCCAGCTCTTTGGCCTTGTGGTCCTCTGCGCTGGGGTTGCTGTTGGGGGTCAGATCCATGAGGGCAGAGTGCATGGAGCAGCCGCACGCCTCGCAGCAGAAGTCCTGGGACCTGCACATGGTACATGGAGAGGTCATGTCACGGTGCTCTAATATTTCGTGCATCCTGCCGGCACAACAGACCTGTAGACCTGGTTGTGTAGCCCACATAAATTACTAACTTATGTTATTGGGTTGGGGGGGGGGGGGGGGGGAAAGAAAGAGAAAGAGAGAGAGAGAGAGAGAGAGAGAGAGAGAGAGAGAGAGAGAGAGAGAGAGAGAGAGAGAGAGAGAGAGAGAGAGAGAGCGAGCATGCATCAAAGGTCTCTGGTTGGAGTTGAATCGAGGACCTTGTTTACATAAATAATTTTAGTTAATATGCCGTCATCAACACAAACAAAGAAAGAGACAGCAGACAAAGACCTCTGAATTAGTCAGACACTTAAAAGTGAAACTTCACAAAGTTAGCAGCCTGTGCGCTGGGCGGCACGCTGATCTATCTGCCAAAGACAGATGTACCATCATTTGACGCTCGGCCAATGGTAATTTGGCACCTTGGCTATGAAGCTGTAAAGATTAGATTGAGCTGCCCATATTTCTACCTGGCAGAAACCCCAGCCTCAAAATCTGAGTGTAAACAAGGGTGTGTTTGTGTGCCTCTTTGTATTGCTGGCTGCCTCACATGTTTGTTTTTAACCTTCCCCACCTGTGGCACGTAAAGCTAACGCTTCAGACCGCTGAGTGCTCCGCCAACATCGCTAAGTGAAGGATAAACACAGACGCTTAGTGCAGCGATGGCAAGAAAGAGAAAACATGAAGTTGCCACACATGAAAGAGGTTTCTGTGGATTTGTCTTAGAAAAAGCTAATCGCCTCTTTCATCAGCTAATGGGCTGATGTTACAGCTGTGAAGAGGAGGCGTGAATCACGCTGAGGAAGGCCACATCCCCACCGTGGCGCCCCTCAGGCTAAAAGGCGGCGAGGATAAATTTGGATACATTATGGTACTAAATGATCCAAATCAGTGTCTTCCTCTGGAGTCAAACAGAAGATTGGATTCTATTCAAGTGAAGTTAGGCTGTAGCTGGGGAAGAAGAAGAAGATGGGCTTATTAGGCAGCGCACACTTTGTGAATGTGCTCTTACGCCTCCAGTCATTACGGCGTCCACGTTCCCAAAAGCGGAGGCCGTGGAGACGTGCTCGGCTGACGGTTGCTCACATGAACCACCGTTTGATCCCTTTAAGGCAGAAGTGCCGATCATCAAGAACACATCTGAACTTAAAGACAAAAGGCCAAAACTGGAGATCTGGTTTGTGAAATCTGAGATGAATCTCTGTAACAATTCCTCGAGTGTATTTGTGCTCATGAGTGAATGCACTGATCAGAGTTACGTGGTTGTTTTACTCTAATCTTGCTGGACCAAATGCCAGGAAGTCTGTCTGTGAATGGGACATCCCTTGAGCAGAAGTTATCATATTTACTTTATGTGTGATGGATCTGAGGATTTGTACCAGGCGGCAACCTCCAGCTCTGAAGAGTGAACCAAGTGTATAAACTTATATGACTTGATTGAACTCAAACTGCTTTAACTGGGACAAAGGAAGAAGATATCGTAAAGCCTTCCTCCATCCCAACCATCAGCTGGGCCACTATATCCTCACACTGTACATTACTTTACTAACGTCACAATATATGCAACGACAGCTCGTCTCCCGTTTATGAAATGAGCACACGGGTGACAGAAATGACTGACGTTTGTCATATTCCTTCCTGAAGCTTCCTCCACGGGGCCCCGCCTGTGTTTGCCAACATCAGAAGATGAGCCCCGTCTTTGGCGGCTTACTTGTCAGTCACAAACTTTCAAAGTATTTTGACAAAGCATCAGAGAACCCCGTTTTCTGACTGACAGCTGTCACAATCGCCACGGGAACAGAAACAACCACAAAAACAAAAAAAGTGCCGTCTCAGCCTTAAATAAAAAAAGGTTTTCCATCGGGGAGATAAGCATCCATGTATTTATAGCAACGCGCCTCTATTTCATCTCCATGTGCTAATGAAACAGCCCGGTGATCGAGACCCCCGTCACATCTGCTAATAGGAGATGGACTTCAGCTGCATCCTCTCCTTCTCGGGCTTTTGTACCGTTTCCTCGGTGTGAAATGAGGAGCGGCGTGCCCACTCGTGCTCCCTCCAGAGGCCGGGCATTTTGGCGATAATGACTTTGTCATCTTGCCGTACCAGGACTTGTTTCCCCTCTTGTGCCTGAGGAGTTATCGGAGGGGATGCACGTCCTCGGGGGCTCAGGTGCTGATTACATTACATGGTCACATGGAGTTTGGCGCGTTAATGCCGCCCAAACGGCATCATGCATGTAATGTCGGCACTGATCATCCTCCACCGGTGGGGCTGATAATCCAGCATGCAAGATCATATCACCGCTGTTCACCTCATTATCAGTCTGTATAGCACACACACATAAACACACACCCTGCAGAGGGACACCATTGGAAAGATTGTCGTCTACCAAATCTTACTTTTTGGCCAGGGCCCTCCTCTCTTCTGGAGTATAATCAAGAGATCCTATGGCTCCCTCTCCTTTTGTTGGCATGAATCCGATGATGGCTATCAGGGCGGTTCGGACTGGAAGAGACACAGACGAGAGGAGGAAAAAGAACAACACGAGGAGATGAGAAACATTCAAATCAGAGCAGGTTCTTCAACATTCCTGGGCTAAAAGCAGAGACGGTTCAATGACACGGCAAGGCTGCACATGTCGTCATGCTCGGTGCCCCGTGTTACATAAGTGGGAATGATGCTTTCATTTCCCAGCGTAAGCCTGGATTTACCCGCGGCCTGCGCGAGGACATCCACCGTGCGTCTGCGCTCACACATTCCTCCAGCTGGCAATGCGGTCGGGGTCAAACGGTTGGTTTGTGTCTCTGTTATGACCGGCTGCGTTTGGTCTGTGCTTCAGTCCATCCGATACGCTGGATGAAGCATCTGGAAACCGATTATGTCCGACTGTCTTTGAAAGATCAGCCTACTTTAAAAGGGTTTCCACAATGGGTATTATTATAATAACTACCAAACAATGACAGCAGTACATGCACACTAATATTCTTTTCAATTTATTTGAATTGATGCGTGGTGGGGCTGAACAACATTTGGACTGATTGACAGTTGTTATCAGCGCTCTACACACCGCGTCAAGTTAAGAAGTTGCAAATGAAAACCTGTCACATGAATTAGACTTCACTCAGTCTCGTTTCAATGAAGTAAACAAAAAAAAAAAAATCAAAGTAAGAGCAGGAAGTTAAGTCTGAAATCTTCAATTAATACAAGAAGAAGCACATTTGACTTTGATAGCATTAAGTCTGTTACGATAAGCGTTTTCACTTCCAACTTGAACATGAATGAATGAATCTGTGCACGCGTGTGTATACTTACGACTCCTATTTGACAATCTTCAGCTCTTATAATAAGACATTTACAATATGCTATAATAAATGTTGAATACAGAAAGACTATGTAAACAGAAAAAAACACTGTTTTACACAGAACGGAGTCATAAATTGTTCAGCAAGATAATCTTCAACGTCATCAACAAACTTCACCGCGGTCACATGACGTCACGTCACAACCACTAAGCTAAAGAAGTTTAGTAATCTCATATTCACTACCGACGTATCTTATATTGTAGAACAAAACATTAAAGTCTCTTAACCACAGACATTATTTCAGGCATCTAACCAGAAGCCCACTGGAAGCGTAAACATGCCGACTAATTTCCCCGTTTTAGGGCTCAGTCCTGCAGAACTCTATTAGTCCATACTCATAAATCAATCTAAATTAATATGTAAAATATGAAAATGTAAATCTGAGGGGATGTTTTCATTCCATATGTGGGCGTGCGTGTAACAGCTGACCTGCCTGTGAAATGCAGAGCTGCAACGTGCGGTTATCCAGCCAGGCTTACTGCGGTCATTCCTAAAATAATGAGACACGACTTCTACACAACACAGCAGGGGAGTCGGATCTCTGAGGCACGGGCAGCCATGTGACCCGCAGCATGTTGGTAAGAAGATCAACGTTTTACTGAAATTGGATTCTGTTATTGATTTAATAGTTGTTTGTTTGTTATGAGAGGAAACTAAAAGGCTTTGAGGAAGAAGCCCCGTGTCTCCCACCGACTTCCTCTGAATAAATGCTGCGTCGTGAAAGCAGAAGTCAGCAAAAGGAATCGAAATATTGTCAACATAAAGACATAGCTGGTCCATGTTGTCCAAAAGGTTTGGACGGTCATGTGAGGCGGAGGGCCTGAAGTCTGGAGGTTTCTTATTCCAACTAAAGACGGCAGCATCTTCAACTCTCCGGTTAATGGTGACATACTTCAGTCATCTGAGAGTGGGGTCTGTGTTTACCTCAACTGCAGACCGGCCTTACCTTTAAATGTTATTTATTTAACTTCCCCCGTTTAATAAATATTAGCGCAGTGCCCGCTAAAACTCTGAGCCACCATTCGTCTGATGTTAATTCTTGTATTTGTGCTGCAGAGAGTAGAACGAGTTGATGATTGCCGTTAAAATCATTTCGCATGTACTGACAACTAATAACATTTTCCAGCTCTCCAAATAATAAGACTCAATATTCATACTTTTGTGGACTCTTCAGACTTGCAGTTGGGGAAAGAAGTAACTAGAGCGACAGGTGGAGAACTCGTGACTCTACGTTGAGGAAACTTACTGCTCCAAGAGGGCTGCCAGGTCTCCGGATGGTGGCCAGAGATGCTCAGACAAATCTTCTTGCCAACTTCGAATCTTCCATTCGGCTAGGAGGAAAAGCAATACGAAGAATGTGGAGGTGAGTATGTGGGCGGAGATGAATGAATAAAACATTGTTATGACAAGCCGACAAGATGTGGAAGTTTGGCACAGTGCGGAACGAGGAACTGCCGGCTGCTACGGTGCAAAAAAGTGAGTTGATTTTTGAAACGATGAATGCAAACTAAGAGAAAGAAAAGTAGCTGGACACAATGAAAAAGTGTCTGTCAAAGCAATTGAGAGTACTCCAGCTTTTTGTCATTAGTGCAGATGTCATACAGCTGTCTGAATACAATAAGAGCGCCTCGTATTCTCACAAAACCAGAGCCATTCCCTCTGACAGTGTGATGACAGCCCCGGCTTCGGTCTGACAACTGTCACTACGTGCACTGCAACCAGAACTGGCTGAGGGTTAAACGACATGCCGTCCATTTTAACACTCCTCGCTCATCCAATTTGACGTCGGGCTTCGGCGGGAGAATAATCGGATGCGATTTGATAGGTGGCCGTCGTCGTCGGCGTCTTACCGTGAGGAGGATGATGCTGGGGGGCTTCATGGGGTACTCTGGGGGAAGCACGATCCTGCCGTGGTAAACCCCGCCGTCGAAATCAGAGTCTGGGGGCCCGCGAACAGAGAAGTGCCACTCAAAGAGGTTATCCTGCAAAAACAGAGAAATGTCCGGAGATAACAAACCTGCGACTTCTCACGTCAGTCTGAATAGGGATACGGTTCATTTATCGCATGAGATAGTCCCTCGATGCTACACGAGATAAAACAAAACTATGTTTTGTGTTTTCTGGGTTCAGGTGGAAGCATTTGAGAAAGTTCTCTTTAAGAATTTAACGGTCACACATGGTGAGTAATTGATATACAAATGGTCATTTAGTGGGTGAAGTCTTCCTTTAAGTTTACAGACATCTATCAGCGTTCTTTACCAGAGTGGAGATGTGAGGTGACCATGTCAGGTTCTCTACGATGCCGATTCCCAGAAACCTAAAACTGTTGCTCCACTTCAGCTACATTGATGTAGACGGGGGGGGGGTGCGTCGTCGCCTCAATTTCCTATATCAACTTTCTATATCTGCTCAGGCTGCATGAACTCAAACCTGACTCACAGGAAACTCTCGCATGTCATCGTCACGTGATGCCCTTCAGCCCTGAGGCCTCCGAACACGACGAGAGTAACGAAACAAAAAGTTCACCTCAAGTTTAATGACACATTCACCCGAGGAGTCACGCTCTCCTTAATCACCCGGCACCGCCGCTCCAGCCTCATTTTAACAGACTACATGATTCACAAGAATGACCTGGTTCTTGCTAGAAGCTTCTAGAAGTATGCATGCGTGTAATGGTTTTATTTGTTCACATTTAACTAGCGACCTAGAGTTACATTGTGATGCAAATAGGGTTCACTTATGTTAGATTAAAAACATAAAGTAACATCCAATTTTCTTTCAATCGTCAGGAGCAATTTGGGGTTCAGTATTGTGCTCAAGGACACTTACACAGTAGGAATGCTGTCAGATTAATTAAAGCACTTTATTTGGAGGTAAAACTGAATGTGGTGTTATATTTGTCACCACGTTCCCACATTTGATTATTTTGGTGAATACGTTATTGTTACTGAGAGAAGCTATCGACAAAACTACAGTGCAAAGATTGTATGAAAACCATAAATTACAAATTCCTGAACAAAATACTCAATTTGAATAAAGTGATTCAGTGCGTTGAATGAGTTGGTCTACTTCCAATTAAATTAATCTAACTCATGAGTTATTGGAAATGTTCATAATGTGCATAAATACCAGGTATGAACAGGATGACAACTACCATTTCTTACTGAGATCAGATCAAATCAAATTAAATAGTATATACACAGACGTTTGTATAAATTATCCAGTAAGTGTGTTATTATGATTTTAGTCATATATGTGCAAATGTAGTTTAGAGAACTTTGGCTCCCCCCTGAGCTAGACTCTACAGGATGTTGGTGATCGGCAGCTAAAGTAATCTAGTAAAGAGTTACTACAGGACAGCGGTGGACTTACTTCCAGCGGCTGGGCGTGGTAGTGCTCCGTGGGATCCCTCAGCTCAGCAGCCTCTTTCATCAGCCTCTTCACCGCTGGTTGTTCAATGGAAACGAAGAACACAGAGGTTAGTCTCTTTAAGGGTATAAAAGAGTCTAATTCATGATCATTACAGCGTACATGTTCAGTGCACACCACGATGTGTTGCGTGTGAAACCCGACAATTACACCCAAATGTCAACAACGGCAGGGTTTGTTTTTACAGGCCAACATCTTCTGATTTCCAGATGCAGAAGGCTGTAAATGCGTCGCTCCTCTGGGTAACAGGACGTTAACTCAGATGGACAGATGAGAGGAGCATGTAGAGCGATAGAGCTCCATGTACTGGCAAGTCTCCGCTAAAAACCACACTGACTGTCACTCATTCGGACAGCCACAGTAAAACAAGGCTCCTTCAAATGTGCAATCCAAAAAGCTTGGATCTAAAACCACCTTTGTCACTTCTGTTTCTACGCAACTGTCCAAGAAGACACCGAAGTTATATTTTGTGCGCTCCCCCTCCGCCATCATGGAAGATCTTCTAGTTCCTTAAATGCACCTCGAAGGTGATGAGGAGTGAGGACAGAGGAGGCTTGTGGAGGAGCTGAGAATCGAGCATTTAAAGCTACTACGAGGAACTTTTATTCAGTATTGTTTTTGGCGGTCCCTGTGGACTAAAGCGGTAGTGTTTCCAAACGCCAGACTCCCTTTAGAAAACCTCTCATTCTACTGCAGCAGGGTCTGACAGCTGGTGGTCTAGTTTACTGATGTAGGTCATATAGAGGCATCAGTATTAAATTGGGACGGTTTCATAACCAGTTAAAAATTCTTCACGGTAACTTTAAGTCACTTTTTCAGCAGAAATGCAAAAGTTCCCTGCTTCCAGGTCACACATCCCATCGTGCTTCAGCACAAGCTCGTGAGTCAACAGCGTCTGGTGTCACAGTCTCAGCCTTGCGTGAACAAAGTGATCATCGCAAGTTCAAAAAAGTCTTTCTGAGCTGTCGAAAAACAAGGTCAATTCTGCTCTCTTATGCTCACCGCTACTGCCGGAGCTGCAAGACGGAAACAAGATGGGGCTGAAAATGGGGAAAAAAAGCAGAACTAAGAGGTATTCATGGAGGCGAAATTGGTTTGGAATCCAATCGAGTGCGGACTGGGTGTCGGAGTTGTGAATGCATACTGTGAAATGAAACACGGGAGAGGAAGACGAAGGGCAGCGGCGTGATGGGTGGAAGAAAATAACATTGATGAAGGCGAAGCTTAGAGGATGTGGAAGCTGCAAGGATGAGCGGAGCAGCGGAGCGATGATGGACCGACACCACGCGGCTTTTCAGGGCACGTGTTGTCTCTGGATTCTGAGAAGATGAGAACCAACCACAGTAATCTCACACTGGAGACACACACACACAAGACGTGTGTGTTTACCTTCTCCTCATGCAGCACTTGCAGTCGTACTCAAGCTTTAAACTAGTTAGACGAGGGGCGAAGATGAGAAACTGATCCCGTGTGAGAATAAATTCTCACGTAGCCGTCTACGATCAAAAGCGATCAACATACACCTCGTGTTCTGATCAGTTTCAGGCGACTGTATCCCAGCGTGATGACGTGTAAAATGCAAAACTCTACACACATGTGATATGAATGTTATAATTCACCGAACGACGTCTGAAACAGAAGAGCTGAGCTACATTTCTACTAGAATAATGAAATAACCGGCTTTTGTTGTGGAACATCATCCTTTAAGCAAATGTACTTGAGTATTTCCATTTTAGTGCATCAATAATAATTTATATATACATGTTCTCTGTTTTCCCTATTAAATAAATACATTTAATTAAATTATAATCCCTATGATTCCCTCACTTCTTATCCATTAATACTTAATTAACTCCCTTTTGTTTTTAGAAAGTACCAGCATCTGTGTGAGTACACAAACATTACAAAAACAAAACATAAATCCTGCTGCAGTGCATTACAAGTGTGCTGTTATCTACCAAGATAAGGTTTTCACATCGCAGCTCTGAGAAAGGAAACGGCTTTTTACACTGCATGAAGTAGAAACACGGAGTACTTCTTCCAACACGAGCTGTTGGTTTGATTACATCTTCTCGTTTCATCCTCACTCTCAAAATTCCACCTTCATCAATGACAATTTGTTGAGTTTTTGTGAAAACATTAAGCTTCAACAGAATCTCTGTTTGCCCATGTGCCCCGCCCGCACATTAGAGCCAACAAATTAAATAACAGACAGGAAGCTTAACTGTGCAGAGATCTGTGAAGGGCTCAACATACGGCTGCAGCACTCCGCCGTGTGAGCTCCATCCATCACGGCCAGCGGCAGAATATTTCAAATTCACAAACGCTGAGCCAGCTGTATAGGCAGGGGGGGGGGGATGAGCCGAACAGGGGGCTGATGGGACAGTTTCTCCTCCTCACTCCAAAGCTAACTAGCCAGCCATACATCCCAAAGCTTCATGTCTTAAACCTGCATTCTATCTAATGTCCACCAGGGGGTGACTCCTCTGGTTGTATAGAAGTCTATGAGAAAATGACTCTACTTCTCTCTTGATTTATTACCTCAGTAAACATTGTAAACATGAGTTTATGGTCTCAATCTCTAGTTTCAAGTCTTCTTCAGTACAGCATGATGTCCATTTAGAGTCAGCTGGTCTTGGCTCCTTTGTGATTGACGGGTCTCTACCAGAGTCGTATGCGGCGTCTCTACCAAGGCGTCAGAACTTCGTAGTCCAAAATGCCAAACCTGAGGCTATAAAACCGGAGTCCACAAACCAATGGGTGACGTCACAGCGGCTACGTCCACTTGTTATACGGAGCGTATGCTTCCTAGCGAGCTGCAACGGCACTTTACGACTGTCGTTTGTTGTCAACATAACTAACCGTCGCCATTTTCTTTCGTACATATCAAATGTCAAAGGACAACAGTTCAATGTCCGTTTTACTATTTCTACGGTTCAATCCTTTTGGATGTGATTTTACAAATCAATAAAAATGGAAACATATTCATATAAATATTGCGTTGTTGCTCATTAGGAACTCTTATACAACTTTATTTTACCCCACTAGAACAGTTTAATAAGAACAACAATTTGATCACATTACTATTGGGGTTTATGGGCTATGATAAATATATATACAGTATGTACATACACATTATATACATGCATAACATATGATTAATTCATTAGTATATTGTCCGCTACTCTTTCCGATATCTAATCTCATATCACAATATCAAAATTAAAGAGCCGGAACTATTCCACAGTCTGACGTAAGGTCTCTGGATGTTCACACTATTTTGAAAACTTGGTATGATGAAATAAAACAACAAAGAAGAAACTCTGACAAAACTTTCCCCCCAAAAAAGCTTCACTTTTGATTGTCGAGCTCAGGCTCTCCGATGCGTGGAGTTGTTTCTCACGCTGAAGAAAAACGAAAGATAAAAGGAAACGGAAATTCTCTGAAGGTTGGACATCGCCTGCTGTGTGCAGACGAACCCTGAACGTCGATAAGGAGACGGGCACCTTTAAAGTTTGCCACAAACACACCAGTATCTTCTTTCTACAACACCAAAAAAAGCACAAGCGGCTGGTATCCAAGGGTGCAAGGATCAGAACAAAGCGTCCTCAAGATGTTCCCAAGAGCGCACACTTGTTATGCAAGACAGACGAAAGGGAGCGGTGCACGGAGAACGGAAAATACCGACCGAGGAGAGCGGAAGAGGCCGCAATTAGAATGAAAAGAGGAGATAAGGAGGAATCAGCTGGGAGAAGGTGACGTGAGGGATCTCTTGAAATGAGTTTTTAACCTTCGGCAGAAGCTGCAGAGCCGTTGTTGATGGAGAGAGAAATGTCAATTCGCCGTCGTGTACCCCAGGAGGGACAACTTTGAAAATCACGATTGATACGCTGGTCTGATGTCTGTTATTGTGACTCTGACATCAATGCAAAGCTCTGGAGGAGATGTGTGCTGAGAGTGTGAGGAGCAAAGTGTTTGTAGGTGCGTTTCTTTCGTCGTTGGTTTCCCACGTTTTCTTTCATTTCATAAATCCAGAGTATATTCATGCACTTAAATCCTCGCCTGCATTGAAAGATTTTGGTCTCAACTAAATGTTCTGTGCTGGTGGAACAGTAGGGGGTATTATGGTTGCAAACTAGGCCAGATCACTCTGGATGTTTCTTCTGAACGTATCAGCAGCATTTTGCATATTTTTATAGACGTTTGCAAAACAGAACAACTTTTTAACTTGGCAAATTAACTTCCCGTTACTGAAAACATTTCTTTTTCCTAAATGAATAGAATTGGATTAAATAGCGTAGAGCTTGTTGTTGAGGTCTGTCAGGGTTTAAAACACTCACAAAACTCAACTTTCAAGGGAACTTAGCTACAGTTGTATAAACAAGACTATTCTTACATGAAAACTGCTCACAACAAGGTCTGTGGATCACCCAGAGTGACCAGGGTCAAGATTTCTGGAATTTAAATGCATCTTTTTCAATTTTTGAGCACCACAAGACGATATAGTCCCATTATCTCTACGGCTGATATCTCCAAAACTGGGCCACTCGCACCAAAACAATTTAGATTGATGAATAAGAGTAGAGGTAAGAGGACAAATGTGTTTGATTTTGAGGTGAACTATCTCTTTAAGCGAAGCTAAGCATCACAGACAGGACGAGCTCCGTCACCGCCAAATCCTGGTGGTCCCGACTCAGAGCTTTTAAGGCGATGAGCTTACAGCGTTGATATGATGTGCTCACACGTTTAACAGCAGATTTTACCACATTGTTCGCCAGCTTCCTGTCATCTACACTTAACTACCTGAGGCAAACCTATAAGTGGTGTATTGTGCGAAGGGTTTTTCCTGCAGCGTTTAACATTTCGTGTGAGATTAAGAATCAAGCTTAAGGCAAAAATAACAAGAGGCACTAATTTATAAAGCAAAGGCCACAAGTTTCATGAGTGAGGCGACGGCGTCTTCTATTAACTTCATTGATAAAGTGACGAGATGAGTCGAGGTCTGTCCACAGAATTT